CCTCCCTATTCTTTTAGAGATAGGTACCATAAATACATATTTACATTAAAACATACAGGATGTTCTTGGAGCAGTGCAACTTATGGACCCGGAAGGAATTTTATTAATTAAAGAATTATAGGGTGTTGCCTAGGGCTTTCACAGTCTTTATCAGTGAAGAAGAATATCATCTTGAAAGATGTGAGATAAATGTGTGATTATTTAGCATCCTTTTTGAAAAGTGTAATAATTTAGTATCTTTTTGTATTCAGCACCCTAACAGGCAAAATAAGTTATGCTTCTGAGGGTGGCAAATGTGACCTAAGTAGTAGAAAAAATACATCTCTTGTGTTCTAATACCACAAAATGTGAAACATATAAAAAGGAGTTGAAGGGTCATTTTGAGGTAGCTGTTAGTGTAACTGGCATCTTTGTGAATGACCATATGATTTCTATAGTGCTACTTTGTATGATTCCTTTTTTTTTTTCTTTTTGACATATCAAGGAATCGACATCAGATAGTCTTCTCTGCTCTTTACGCTAATTTGTTTTCTATGCCTTATTTTTACATATTCAGCACTTTTCAGGGATACTTTTATTATGCTTGTATTACAAATAGGGGAACTAGAGCTTAGAAAAAGGTGAAACAAACTATCTAAAGGTAAATAAATAGCTAAATAATATTTTAAAGGCAAAAAACATAGCAGTAACTAAAAAAAGCCAAGCCTGACTCCATAGTCCATTTTTTAATCATTATGCTAGACTGATGATTGAAGTCAGATAAATTAAGTTCTCCAGAAATGTCCTAGCTAATCCAAGGATAAAGATCTTTGCTTGTCTTGCTAGATCTGTCATTTGTAATTGATAAGGTATTGATGGAACTTGACTCAAATATAGGAGTATAAAACAATCCTCTTTTTCTCTTCTTTGTTTTTCATAATGACCACAGAACCTCATTTAAAAAATCAGATGTACCCCCATAATATGCTGAAATAAAAAAAAAATAAGATGAGGGGAAGTTAATACCTGACAGATTCAGGCGCATTGCTTTGATAGATGTAACTTTTATAATTATGGTTTATTATTTTCATTTTCCTTCATACAGAACCCAGTGCTGCTCCCACGGATGTCAAGGCAACAAGTGTGTCTGTGTCAGAGATTCTTGTTGCATGGAAACACATGAAAGAGAGTCTAGGAAGACCACAGGGATTTGAGGTACGAACAGAATCATTGAAAATAAGCCTTGTTAGTTCTGCTGGCACTATACTCTCCTAAAGAGATGTCTTGGTGACACTTCGACAG